TGAAAATGGATTTGGTATGAGAATGAGCCTGAAGTATCTTAGAGAAAGATGAAGTGTCACCTGTCTCTGAACGGACAATGTACTAGCAGTATCTGAGAATCCTTGAGCCTATAAAAATCACTAAAAAAATTACCATGGGAGGCAGCTGTAATATTTTCATGGCTGGGATTTTGGTTTTGAGGCGGGGAAGGAGGTTGCTTTTAAGTCAAATGTAATCAGACTCATATTTCATCTAACATTATCTAAATACTCGACAACTGCTCTGCACTTCCTTCTCCTGTGTAATCAACCATTTCTGAATGTGATACAATAATGCTGCATGAAAACTACTGGCAGCATGGTAATCTGCTGCAGCGCACCTGGAAGTGCTACTGAGTTCCCACAATCACAGACATGCCATCAGAAGCAACAAAAAAAAAAATTGAAGAAATTTGCTTCAAAACAAATCCTTTAAAATATCTGTGCTTTTAAAATGAGACAAACCAAAATAATGTTTGCAGATGAGCAGCACCATTACAATTGGTCAAAAAATTCCCTCCCTGTTAAGCTGTTCCTTAGGCTGACCCTTCAGACCCACTTACTGGCTTGCTGTATATTACTACATTATTCAGGCAAGTGCTTCTTCTCTGGCTGTGAGGCCAAGTGATACAGAACACCTCCTGTCCCCAAAGTTAAATCACCCTTCTGAGGAGAACAACCATATCCAAACTGCTCATAGCCATGGTGCATGTTCACCTCCTGAACTGTGTCCATGTAACCGATAAAGGACAAATCCATGCTAAGAAGCACATCAATAGGACCTACAGGCACTAAGATCGTGTCCCTGTTTTGTTCCTGAGTCTAACTGTAGCCTTGTGTGATTCATACATCAATTGCTCCTTTTCCCAGTTTGTCACTAGTAGGCTAGACTGAACCTCTGGCAGCCAGCAATGACTGCCTGGAGCAGGAGGAAGGGCAGCAGCACCACAACATTCCCTCAGAAACCTTTGCTTCTTCCTCTGGCAGAAAAATAAGGGTGAAAGTTTGCAACCAGCAAGAGAAAGTTAATGCAGCCACAAACTCTTAAAACATCTTGACCAGATGAATCTTCAAAGAACCTAAAGGGCACCTCTAAAGACCTTTAAAAACCTATTAGCTCTGAAACCTACAATACAAACCATTCACCTCTGCATAACCAGCTGCTAATCTACTCTATGTACTTTGACAACGCAGCAAGAAACTGGTCTATAAAATAGGATATTAGAAACTTTATTACCTTAGACTTAATCATAGCCTACTGCTAACAAAAACAATCAAAAAAGGTTTACTCCTGCTGG